ATAATTTTGGTTATGATGTCTAAGGAATCCTTGCCTAACCCAAGGTCACAAAAGTTTTCTCCTATTTTCTTCTAGAATTCATATTTTTCTGTTTTATATTTAGGTCTATAATCCATTTTGAGCTCTTTTTTTATGTGTGTATGAGAGATATGGATCAAATTTCACATTTTTGCGCTTGGATCTCCAATTATTTCACCATCAGTTGTTGAAGAGATTATTCTTTCTCCACTGAATTGACTTTATGGATACATGTATACCCAATTATTGACTCCATTCTGTGCCACTAATCTATATGTCTCTCTTTATGCCAATGTCGTCCTGTTTTGATTATAATAAATAATTCTTTAAATCACATTCCTTAATCTTATTTTAGCTACTCTAGGCTGTCTTAATCTGTACTGCCATAACAGAATACTCAAGACTGAGTAATTTATAATGAACAAAATCATGAACTCCTGGGCTCAAGCAATCCTCATGCCTCAGCCTCCCAAAGTGCTGGAGTTACAGGTGTGAGCCACTGTGCCTGGTCCATTTATTTTTAAAATTTGTTTTATTTTATTTTTTGAGACAAGGCCTCGTTCTATCATGCACACTGAAGTGCGGTGACATGATCTTGGTTTACTGCAATTTCCATCTCCTTGATTTAAGCAATCCTCCCACCTCAGCCTTCTAAGTAGCTGGAATTACAGAAGTGTGCCACTATGCCTGGCAGATTTTTTTTTTTAAAACGAAGTCTTGCTCTGTCGCCAAACTGGAGTGTAGTGGTGAGATCTCAGCTCACTGCAACCTCTGCCACCCAGGTTCAAGCAATTCTCCTGCCTCAGCTAATAGTCATGCTGAGGTAAATTATAAAACTTCTCACCCTATTGCCCTTCTCCTTTCTTCCCATCCAATTGTATGTCCACTTAATGGACATACATTGCATTTTTTTAAAAGGCTAAATTGATGTCACCAAACATTATAGGAAGTTCAACTTCCAGTATGACAGCACAAGGAAATCCATGGAACTGCTCCCCAGTGAAACTGTTGAAAATTATTTTTAAAACAAACAAATCTGTAAGGCCTCTGGAAATGTCCCCAGTGGCATGCAACAGGTGAAGTATCTGTTCAAGAAAATCAATGATCTGATTTTAAAAAGTGAGAGTCAACGTGAACTCTATAGATGTCAGCTCAAGGCAGGGGGCAGGAACCTGGTGCCCAGGCAGACCCTGCTGAGAGAATGTTGATAACAGAGGGCCCAAGGCTGAGGTAGGCTGGGCCCCAGCACAGGCCTTCCTCCACAATCTGAATCTCCTTCTTACTGGCTCCCAATTCAGAGGACTCCCGAGCAAACCTCTCTCCTCTTCATTCACCACACTGGCGAGCTACCTCTTTTGTGGGGCAAAGGAAGGGGCACAATCACACATGAGCAGAAGACAGGGCTGTCCTCTGGCTGACCAGTTTCCAATGGGGGACAGCTTGTCGGAAGCCTGACTTGGCCTTTCTCTGAGATGACCATATGGTTTGGTAAGGGCCTGCTCTCTCTGCTTCCAAGACGGTTCCTTGTTTCTGCGTCCTCCAGAAGGCAGAAACACTGTCCTTACATGGCAGAAGGGATGGAGAAGCAAAAGAAACTAGCTAGTTCCCTCCTGTCCCCTTATAAGGTCGCTTATCCATTCATGAGGGCTCTGCTCTTATGATTTAATCACCTCCTCAAGGCCCCTTATTTTAATGCTGTTGCATTAGGGATTAAGTTTTAACATGAATTTTGGAGGGACAAACAGTCAAACCATTGCAGTTACCATTTGCCAAGCCATCCTCATCACTGTCTTCCCCACTCCCATCCTAAGTGCGCTTCTGTCCCTGTGCTCCTCACCTCGGTGGATGGGCTGTCTTCCATCCAGGTGCTCATCCAGACTCCTTCTCCCACAGCCCTGGACCCCAAATCTGTCCCCCAACATCCCTCTGCTGCCTTGCTTCATCTCATTTCCTTCCGTAGCCTCTCAACTGCTCTGCCTACCTCCACCTTTGCTCCCTTTCTGACCCATGGCCCTCAAAGCAGCAAGAAAGATTTTTCTAAAATGCAAATATGGCCAGGCACAGTGACTCACGCCTGTAATCCTAACACTTTTGGAGGCCAAAGCGGGCAGACCAGTGGAGGTCAGGAGTTCAAGACCAGCCTGGCCAACATGGTGAGACCCCTTCTCTACTAAAACTACAAAAATTAGGTGGGCATGGTGGCGGGCACCTGTAATTTCAGCTTCTTGGGAGGTTGAAGCAGGAGAATCGCTTGAACTTGGGTGTGGAGGTTGCAGTGAGTCGCAATTGCGCCACTGCACTCCAGCCTGGGCAACAGAGTGAGACCTTGTCTCATAAATAAATAAATAGCAAATCTGGTTATGTCTGCCTGCTTGTCTCTCTCTCTCTCTCTCTCTCTCCTCTCTCTCTCTCCTCTCTCTCTCTCTCTCTCTCTCTCACACACACACACACACACACACACACACACACCCTGAAGACCCTCTCCTTTGCCTTTCAGAGAAACATCCACATGGCTGGTAGTGGGTAAGGACCCTTCCTGATCTGGCCCCTGCCAACCTATACAGGTTTCCCCTCTGCTCAAGGCATGCCAAACTTGCTGTTTCCAAAATGGCTGTTGCCTGTCCCTGTGCCTACCTGGATGTTGTGCCCTTTGCTGGTGGTGAAGGCCCTCCCTTTTCTGCTTAGTTAATGCCCTTGTCCTTTAAAACCCAGGCTCAGGCCGGGTGTGGTGGCTCATGTCTGTAATCCAAGCATTTTGGAGGCCAAGGTGGGCAGATCATCTGAGGCCGGGAGTTCAAGACCTGCCTGACCAACATGGTGAAACCCTGTCTTTTAAAAAAAAAGGGCCAGGCGCGATGGCTTATGCCTGTAATCCCAGCACTTTGGGAGGCCGAGGAGGGTGGATCACAAGGTCAAGAGATTGAGACCATCCTGGTCAACATGGTGAAACCTTGTCTCTATTAAAAATACAGAAAAAATTTAGCTGGGCATGGTGACGCGTGCCTGTAATCCCAGATACTCAGGAGCCTGAGGCAGGAGAATTGCCTGAACCCAGGAGGCAGAGGTTGCGGTGAGCCAAGATCGCATCACTGCACTCCAGCCTGGGTAACAATATCAAAAAAAAAAAAAAAAAAAAAAGAGCCAAAGCTCAGCTAAGAAAAAGGCTAAAAAATAAACAACAACAACAAAACAAAACAAAACAAAAAAGAACCAAGCTCAGCTATTGCCACCTCCAGAAAGCCGCCCCTGCTTCTCATCCAATGATTTTCATCTCTCTTGTTGTTACATCTTGACAACACTGAGCCATCTCTTTCTTTACCACATTTATCACACTGCATTGTAAGCTTCCTGTTTTCCTTTTTCTTTTCTTTTTGAGATGGAGTCTTGCTCTGTAGCCCAGGCTGGAGTGCAGTGGCATGATCTCGGTTCACTGCAACCTCCGCCTCCCGGGTTCAAGCAGTTCTCCTGCCTCAGCCTCCTGAGTAGCTGAGATTACAGATGCATGCTACCATGCCCAGCTAATTTTTATATTTTTAGTAGAGATGGGGTTTCACCATGTTGGCCAGGCTGGTCTTGAACTCCTGACCTTGTGATCCGCCCATCATGAATTTTCTTTTTTCTTAATTAAAAAAATTTTTTATTTGTTTTTTAATTTGTCCAGCTTCCACACGAGCATATTTACCTGTCTATCTCCAGTACAAAGCTCAGCCCCCAGCACCTAGTAGGTACTCAATAGATGTTTGCTGTGTGAGTGTTGAATGAATAGAATGTACCGGAGGCTGCAACAGAAAGAGAAGTCAGGTCGTTATTATAGTGACCCAGGAGAGAGGTGCCAAGGGTGGGGACCAAGGCTGGGGCAGCAGAGCTGTGGAACCAGTGGAGTTGATATAGACATTTCCTTGAAACTTGCAGCATGGACATAGAGCAAAGGAATAAAACTGTGGTTCGGGGCACTATTTTTGGATAATTCAGGCAAACACCCCATGGGTAGTGGCTGCTCTGGAAGCTGCCCTGTGCACCGGGCAGAGATGAGGTTTTGTTATGCAGATGGGGAGGTATCAGCGCAGCTATCTACTGGATAACACACTGTCTCCCTCCTGGGTCCCTCCAGGTTCTAGGGAGCACAAAGAGGTTTGTGTATCTGGAGATCTGGAGTCACACGGGGTTGGGAGGATGGTGGGGAATAAAGTATAAGAAATTTGAGATGAATCTGGAAAACATTATGCTAGGTAAAGTAAGCCAGATACCAAAGGACAAACGTTGTATGATTCCACTTATATCAGGCACCTAGAGCAGTCAAATTCATAGAGACGGCAAGAAATGGATAGCAGGGACCAGGGGAAGAGGGGAATGGGGAGTTGATGTTTAATGGATACAGAATCTTTGATGGGGATGATGAAAAAGTTCTGGAGATGGCCGGCCATGGTGGCTCATGACTGTAATCCCAGCACTTTGGGAGGCTGAGGTGGGCAGATCACTTGAGGTCAGGAGTTCAAGACCAGCCTGGCCAACTTGGTGAAACCCTGTCTCTTCTAAAAATAAAAAAAAATTAGCTGGGCATGATGGTGCATGCCTGTTATTGCAGCTACTTGGGAGGCTGAGGCAGGAGAACCGCTTGAACCTGGGAGGCGGAGGTTGCAGTGAGCCAAGATCATACCACTGCACTCCAGCCTGAGTGACAAAGCAAGATTCTGAAGAGAGAGAGAGACAGAGAGAGAAAGAAGGAAAGAAAGAAAGAAAGAAAGAAAGAAAGAAAGAAAGAAAGAAAGAAAGAAAGAAAGAAAGAGAAGGAAAGAGAAGGGAGGGAAGGAGGAAAGGAATGAAGGAAAGAAGGAAGGAAGGAAGGAAGGAAGGAAGGAAGGAAGGAGGGAGGGAGGGAGGGAGGGAGGGAGGGAGGGAGGGAGAGAAGGAAGGAAGGAAGGAAAGAGGGAAGGAAGTTTCCAACAAGCTGTCCCCCATTGGAACAAGGAACCGTCTTGGAAGCAGAGAGAGCAGGCCCTTACCAAACCATATGGTCATCTCAGAGAAAGGCCAAGTCAGGCTTCTGACAAGCTGTCCCCCATTGGAAACTGGTCGGCCAGAGGACAGCCCTGTCTTCTGCTCATGTGTGATTGTGCCCCTTCCTTTGCCCCACAAAAGAGGTAGCTCGCCAGTGTGGTGAATGAAGAGGAGAGAAGTTTGCTTGGGAGTCCTCTGAATTGGGAGCCAGTAAGAAACAGATTCAGATTGTGGAGGAAGGCCTGTGCTGGGGCCCAGCCTACCTCAGCCTTGGGCCCTCTGTTATCAACATTCTCTCAGCAGGGTCTGCCTGGGCACCAGGTTCCTGCCTCTTACCTTGAGCTGACCTCTAGAGTTCAGGTCTAACCTAGGTTGCAGCTGGAGGTCTGCCTGCTGAGCCTTCACCAGCACAACAGTGGCTCATCATTAAGGCATCTTGGCCCTGGCCATAGAAGACAGTAAGTCTTGCCTGGATCCATAAACCTCCACCCATTCCACTCCTGCTGGCCAAACCTGTGACTTGGGACAAGGCTGGGCCATGCCCAGGGAACGAAGCAGGGAAATTCTAAGGGCTTGGAAGGAAAGAGTAGTGGGGCCAGGGGATGTCACGGACGATTCCAAGTCTTTGAGGAGCCATGAGTTTTCTGACTTCAGAGAAGCAAACTCCCCAGATGAAGTTTGTACCATCCTTATTCCCAACACAGGAGCCTCTGGGTTCCCACAAACCTACATCATCAATAGGAGCATTCTCTGCCGCTTTAAAGCAAAGCTGGAGCTGGAACAGCAGAACTGGAAGGTACTTAGGAGAGAGTCAGGCCAGTGATATATCCATTTCCTGATGATGTGGTCACATCTAGCTAGTTAGGTCAGAGCAGGGGCCAGCCCCCATGTCCCTTAACTTCCAGCCCATTGCCTGTTAGCGCTCCTATTTATATCTCAGGCTAGCTCTGCCGTCTTGTCACATGTCTGCATGATTTTCTTCCTGCAGGAGGTGCTCTGGTAAAACAAGTATAAAATGAATGCCTGGATGGTTTCCCTCGTGGTGGGCATACTCTCTGTCCTCAACACCATCCAGTTCTTCATCTTTGACCTGAATCGGACTACACGCATTGGCTCTGTGTTCAGCATCTACATGGACAAATTCAGCATCTACATGGACTCAGAGTTGAAGCTAGTCACTTGGATCCTGTTCCACAGGGCTAAGATCAGCACTGCCCTCTCCCTCACCACCATCGTCGTCAGCTGCTTCCTCCTTTACTGTATCTATAATAATATCTTCCCGGGGCTGCTGATCTATGCCATGTGGATCATCACTTATGAGCTCATCAACTTCTCCATAGTCCTGCTCCTCAACAGTATCATCAGAGATCAGTTCAAGCAGCTGAGTCACTTGTACTTGATCTTCCAAATCTCACACACGGTCCTGCACTTTTTCTGTCTGCCCTTCATCTTCAAGCACGCGTACAGCCTTTACAAGGAGCCCCCACCTGTGAACAAGATAGCCCACCACAGGCCCCCCTCCACCAGTGCAGTGAACTTAAGACTACCTGTCCCTCGGAGAATGTTGCACCGGAAGTGAAACTGACCCCTGCCGGGAAAGGTGGGAGGGAACGTGCTCCTCAGCAATGGAACCCTCCCTGCCCCGCCAGTCTTCTGTTGATGCTGCTTGGTTTGTCAGGGCTTTTGAGTTTTATGCACTGTGGAATGATCCTTGGGAGAGGGCGGGTTGTGTGGATCAATTATTGTGCAGATGTGTGGTGTGACTTGTTTTAGCAGTTAATGATATATGCGGCCTTGTGTTTACTTAACCATCTCACTGGTGTCTGTTTTTGCCTCTCACAGTCCCCTCTCCTCTGCACTTCCTTAGTTTCTAGTTTTTCCTTTATGGGTTGGCCCACAGATGCCCGTTCTGCTGAGTCCTTTGGAGCAGCATTGCCCAACAGAACTTCCTGTGCTGATGGAAATGTTCTCTATCTGTGCTGGCCACTAGCCATATGTGGCAACTGCGCACTTAGAATGTGACTATTACAACCCGGTAATTTAACCAAATTTTAAATTTTCTTCCATTTTGGCAAATTTCTGTTTCAATAACTATGCATGGTTGGCTCCAGACTAGCCTATCAGCCCAGTACAGTGGCTCACGCCTGTAATCCCAGCACTTTGGGAGGCTGAGGTGGGTGGATCACTTGAGGACAGGAGTTCGAGACCAGCCTGGCCAGCAGGGTGAAACCCCGCCTCTACTAAAAATACAAAAATTAGCTGTGCATGGCGGCAGGTGCCTGTAATCCCAGTTACTTGGGAGGCTGAAGCAGGAGAATCACTTGAACCCAGGAGGCGGAGGTTGCAGTAGGCTGAGATCACACCATTGCACTCCAGCCTGGCCAACAAGAGTGAAACTCGGTCTCAAAAAAGAAAAAAACAAAAAACAAAAAACTACCCTATTGGAGAGCACAGCCTTCTGAAGATTCACTTTACTCCTACAGTAACCACTGAAAAGACCCCTTTCCAGAGTCATGCCTCACCCTGCTTCCCTCACACTTTTCAGAAAGCAATTCCTCATGTTGGTTCACAATAACGTAGCAAGAAGAATCCTCATTTAAGAAAGTGCCAGAGCCGGGTGTGGTGGCTCACGCCTGTAATCCAAGCATTTTGGAGGCTTGGATTACAGGCGTGAGCCACTGTACTGGGCTGATAGGCTAGTCTGGAGCCAACCATGCAAGGCGGGCAGATCACCTGAGGTCGGGAGTTTGAGACCAGCCTGGCCAACATGGTGAAACCCTGTCTTTATTAAAAAAAAAAAAAAAGACCGCCAGGATTTCTCAGCTGAAGCATTATTGACATTCTGGGCTGGATAATTCTGTCCTGTGGGGGGCTGTCCTTTGCACTGTAGAATGTTTAGCAACTTCCCTGATCTTTACCCACTATTTGCTGGGAGCATCTGGCTGTCCCCCATGCTGTCACGACCAAAAATACCTTCAGGGGATTAAGCCCACCCATTTCCTCCTGGGCTGGTGGATTCTCTAGTTTTCAACTCAGATAGTAAAACAGGATTGGCTGGGTGAGGTGGCTCACATCTGGAATCCCAGCACTTTGGCAGGCCAAGGTGGGTGGATCACTTGAGGTCAGGAGTTCGAGACCAGCCTCGCCAACATAGTGAAACCCTGCCTGTACTAAAAATACAAAAATTAGCCTGCTATAGTGGCAGGTGCCTGTAGTCCCAGCTACTCAGGAGGCTGAGGCAGGAGAATCGCTTGAACCCAGGAGGTGGAGGTTGCAGTGAGCTGAGATTGCGCCACTACATTCCAGCTTGGGCCACAGAGCAAGACTCCATCTCAAAACAAAAACAAAAACACAGGCTCAACACTTTGAAAACCAAAAAGAACCCCAAAAGATATCTTCAGGCATTGTCAAATATCCCCTGGGGTGGGGTGGGGCTGGGGCAAAATTGCCCCTAGTTGAGAGATACTATTGAAAAGCAACACACCCCAGTGTTGAGAGCTGGTAGGCCACTACCTGGAACTAGGAACGCCACTTTTCCTGAGAGCTGTTCACATTCACCACTTGTGCCGTCTTCACCCTAATGCTCCTATTTTACGGTTTGATGAAACTGAGGCTCACCGGGCTTCAGTGATAAGATCAAGGTCACATAGTCGCAAAAGCAGGACTTGCGTCTCATCATCTGACTTCCTACATGAAAGTCTTACTTGGCTCCCTGATTCAGTTTTACTTTTCCCAAGATAAAAAGGAGGCACCTCCTTTTAGGGTAGCTTCTTTTCCCTTGAAAAGTGTCGGGAGTGAAGTCAAGAGACATGTTTGTTTGTTTTGGCCATACTCCTCCAAACTATGAGCGTAAGGAGAGCAGTTCGCTTTTCCTGAACCCTTAGTGCCAGGTCCTATCCTGCAATCCACTCAACTCTTCCCACCACCCTGATTTGAACCTAGGCCAGTTCCCCAAATGACCACAAGATGGCAGTCAGTAATAAGCTTTTGCTTAGCACTGTTAGCCCTCTAAACCAGATCCTCTAATGGTAGCTGTTTGGATTTACCGAGCTTCCAGCTAATGACTGGGAGCTAATGTGTGTGTCTCTGCCCCAGTCTCACAAGGCATATCTTGTCTGATTGTGACTTGCTAGTACCAGAAACACAAAATATAAAACATGGGCCGACTTCTGGGTTCTGAACCATCCCGGTTGAGGTTGCTGGGGTGGGAGGTGGACTGGGCAACACTGAGGAAACCTGTGTGTTGAAGTGTAGGGAAAAGCAGAGTTCCAGGAATCAGCTCAACCGAGAGTTACTTGAGTTGAGAAAGCTGAAGACGCTCAAATGCAAGGTTGTACTATTCTCACTACTAAGACTCTTCCAAAGCATGGTTGCCTCTGCCTTCACTTCCTGGTCTCCTGTTCTCTCTAGAACCCATCCAGTTGGGTTTCACTTCCTCCACCCCACTGGGACTGCTCTTGTCAAGGCGATCTCCACACTGCTCAAGCCGGTGGTCAGTTCTCCGCCTTTGCTTACCTGTCCTGCAGTGGCCTTCGACTGCTGATCCCTCTCTCCTGCCAACAGGTTTCTCTGGCGGCCCCTGTGCCTCCGTCTCCATCCTTCTCCTGCCACACTAGCCCCTTCTGCTCCGTCTCCTTTGCTGACCTCTCCTCATCTTCCTGACCTCCAAACACTGGAGTACCCCGGCTCGGTCCTTCTCTGTCTCACTGGCTCCCAGCTTACCTGGTCCAGACCCATCACTAAGCCCCATAGGTACCTTCAGCCTGGACCTCTCCCCCAACCCTGGCTTTGCTTATGCAGTCGCTTCCTTCATGTGGTAGACATCATGGAAGCTCTAACACGGTTCCCGAAGATCCCTGCCAACTGACGTTCACACTCAGTGCCTCTTCTGAGATGTGGGCATGACCCAGTGAGCCTCTTCTAGCAAAGAGAACATAGCAAAAGCAATGGGGTGTCCTTTCCAAGGTTAGGTTACAGAAAGACGATGACATCAGTGCTGTGTGCCCTCTGAGGGAAGCTGGCTGCCATGTTGAGAGTATCCTTACGGAAAGGCTCATACCGCCAGGATCAGAGGTTGCCAGCCAAGAGCCTGTGAGGAATGGAATCCTACCAACAGTCCCATGAGGGAGCTTGGAAACAGATCTTCCCCTACACACAACTCTTTTTGTTGTTGTTTTTTAAATACAACACGGGGTCTCCCTATGTTGCCGAGGCTGGTCCTGAACTCCTGGCTTCAGGCAATCCTCCCACTTTGGCTTCCCAGATTGCTGAGATTATAGGCATAAGCCACCATACCCGGCCAGGATACGTTTTGGGGTGGTTACCGTGGTAGAGACATGTTTGTAGAGATGTAACATGTACTAGTTACCTATTACATGTTTGGGGCATAACAAATTACCCCAAAATGAGCAGCTTAAGACAACACGTTTATTCTGTCTTAGTTTTTGTAGTAAGGAGTCCAAACACAACTTACCTCGTTCTCTGACTCAGATTTTCTCAGGGTCTCACTCAGGATGTTTATTGCTTTTCTTTTATTTTAAGTTGGTCAGGCTGATCTTGAACTCCCGACTTCAGGTAATCCACCAGCCTTGGCCTCCAAAGTGCTTGGATTACAGGTGTGAGCCAACACACTTGGTAGCTTTTATTTGTTTTCTAGAGACAGGGTTGCACCGTGTCACCCAGGCTGGAATGCAGTGGTACAATCCTAGCTCACTGCAGTCTTGAACTTCTACGCTCAAGCTAACCTCTCACCTCAGCCTCCTGAGTAGCTGGGAATACAGGCATGCCACCACATCCAATGTTTTAATAAACATTTTTAAAATTTTTTTCTTAAAATTAGGGAATGTAGCCAGGCGTGGTGGCTCTCGCCTGTAATTCCAGCACTTTTCGAGGCTGAGGCAGGCAGATCATCTGAGGTCAGCAGTTTGAGACCAGACTGGCCAACATGGTGAAACCCCATCTCTACTAAAAATACAAAAATTAGCTGGGCATGGTAGTGGATGCCTGTAATCCCAGTTACTCAGGAGGCTGAGGCAGGAGAATCACCTGAACCTGGGAGGTGAAGAAGCCAAGATTGTGCCACTGCACTCCAGCCTAGGCAACAAGAGCAAAACTGCATCTCAAAAAAAAAAAAAAAAAAAATTGAGGAGTGTATCCCAATCCACACTCCTGATTTTCTCTCTTCACCTACCCTAACTTTGCCCAGTCTTTGCCACCTCTACCCTTCCATTGCTCAAGTTAAAGACCCAGCAGGCATCCTTGGGTCCTCTCTTCCTCTAAGCCTGTATCTAACCCCTCCGCACTCCCCATCAGCCCACCCTTCAATATAGATCCAGATCCAACCACTTGGTATCACCTCTCCTGCCACCTCCCTGGCCCAGGCCAGCACCGTCTCTTGCCCAGGCTATTGCAATAGCAGCTCCTGACTGGCCTCCCCAGGCCACTGTGTCCCCTTTACAGTCAGTTCTCTGCCCAGCCATCAGAGAGGTCCTGTTGAAGCCTGAGTCAGATCATGTGCCTCCTCTACTCCACTCCTAACCTTCCAGGGGTCTGTACCACACTCAGGGTAGAAATCCCAAGTCCTTACCATGGCATGCCAGCTGCTAAATAACCCAGTCCCCTGCCACCCTCTGATCTCCTTTGTCACCACTTTGTCCGCCCTGCCTCCCTCTGCTGCAGCCACGCTGGCCTCCTTTCGGTGATCCTAACACAGCCAGCACACTCCAGCCTCGGGGCCTTTGCCCTCGCCATGCCTTCTGCTTGGAACATTCTTACTCCAGCTATTCACCAGCTTCCTCTCTTGCTCAAAGGTCA